TTTTTTTTTTTTTTTTTTTTTTTTTTTTTTTTTTTTTTTTTTTTCAGATCTGATGTAGTGTGAGGATTGAGCCCTCAAGTAGGGGCCTTGCCATGATGTACATGTTCTGGGCTAAGGCCCCAGCAAGCCTAGTGTCTGCCCTGAGTGAAGGCGGGCCAGCAAATCAACAAGAGCCCTCTTAGCAACCATTTCATGAAGTGGGGTCTATACAGTTGCAGCACGCCAGTTGGTTGGAGTGCACTGAGTCTCGTATTTCAGCAAATGCTGAAATGCCCAGGGCCTCTGAGTTAGTTAGGCCCTGGGCACTCGAACGTGCGGCGTCTTACCTTGAGGGTAAGGCAGCCAAGTGGTTAGATGGTGTAGTTGTGACGGCCGGGTACGGGAGACGCATGGCGGATTGGGCTAAGTCTTTGACTTTAGACCAATTCATGGAGATGGTAGAAGCTCGATGGCATAACCCACAGGAGGCTCAAAGGGCCACTGATGCCATTAACAAACTGGACCAACGCAAGTTCAGGTCAGTTAGGGAGCTTACGACTACCGTTGAGAGCCTGATCCTCGTCCCAGGCATTAACTACAGCGACCAATTCCTCTTGACTACGTTTGTCAGATGTCTCCCAGAGAACATCAGGAACTTACCAGCCAGTGAGGCACGTACCGAGTACCACTCATTTGAGACATTGTCTAGGAAGGCTTTAGATTTGGAGGCCACGTTAGGCAATGCTCAACCCACCTCAGGAAATGACTCAAAGAAGAAGAAGAGTCCTCAGGAGTGGAAGAAGAAGGGGGCGAAGTTGATGATGGTGGAGTCTGATGGCACTCAAACAGAAATCGACGAGCTCTCTGACCTGGTGGACTACTCAGAGTATGACGGCGAGGAGGTAGCTGAGGGTAGCACACTCGCCGCGGTAGTAAAGACTAAGGCAAGTGGCCGAGGGAAGGGCCAACCTAGGAGTCAAGGGAAGGCCGCCTCCAATCAGACCAAAGAGGTTGAGTGGGTAAAGGCAGGTCTTGATCAGGACGTGTGGCGTGACCACCGAATGCGTGGCGCTTGCATCAACTGCGGAGAATACGGACACACGCAGTGGAAGTGTCAGAACGCTAAGGTTACGCAAAAGGTTGCTCCAAAAGTGGGGACACCCTATTCCCAGGCTTCTAGCTCGGGAAACGCGTAGGGCCAGTGGAAGTAGTAGCGGCTTCTACTCAAGATGAAGTGGGAATGATACCCTCCTCACTTCATGACAAGGCCGAAGCTAATGACTCCTTATTCACCCCGCAGACACAACTAGACCAAACTATGCTCTGTACGTTAGATGTGTCTGAGGCCTTAGAAGACTTAGAAGGCGAGTGGTCAAACAAGGACCCTCGCGAGTCTTGGGTGGCGCTAAAGAAGGGTCCTAGAGGGGAACATTTCGTAGTGGAAGTGGATGTAGGAGGCCGCAAATGTGGAGCCTTCATAGACAACGGATCCAAGCGAAATTGCATAAGTCGCGATTGTTTGGAAAGGCTGCACCTACAGGACCGGGTACGGCACCTTAGTAGACCAGCAGCATCTACTTTGGCCAACAAAGAGCGCATGATTGTCACAGACTACATCAAGGACGTAGTCTGTACCTTCTCCTATGGAGGAGGAGAGCTTAACCATAAGATCTCGTTCTTGGTTAGCGACGACTTGCCATTCKAAATGTTGCTAGGCATGTACTACCTCGAAGTTGCTAAGCCCCAGTTCGACTGGGATAAGAAGGTGCTCAAGCAAAAGTTGCCCGATGGCCGAACTGTCAGATTGACTAAGTTCAAGGCCAGCAATATAGCAGATACCTATGGTTGCTTGTGTGCATCAGCATTCTACAATTACTATAAACAGAACCAAGAGGAGGGTATGTACCTTGTTTATGTCTCTGAGAAGGGGGAGGTCGTTAAAACACCCCCAGAGATAGAACGCATCGTTGCTAAGTTCCCTGATCTGTTCGAGGAGCCCTTAAGAGTTGTTGATAGGGAAGTCGTCCACGCTATAGAAATCATTCCAGGGAGTAAGACCCCAAAGGGAAGGATCTATAGGATGGCCCCTGCCGAGTTAGATAAACTTCGGAAGCAACTAAAAGAGCTGACAGAGAAGGGTTGGATTCGGCCTAGTACTTCCCCTTACGGATCATCCGTTCTTATTTGTACCGAAGAAGGGGGGTACTTTGAGGATGTGCATTGATTATAGGGGCCTCAATGCCATCACGGTGAAAAAYGCAGAGCCTCTACCTCGCATAGACGACCTATTGGATAGGGTGCAGGGATGCAAGTACTATACAAAGATAGACTTGAAATCCGGATATCACCAAATCGCAATAAGACCTGAGGACCAACACAAGACAACTTTTCAGACTAGATATGGTCTATATGAGTTTGTAGTAATGCCTTTCAGTCTTTGTAATGCGTCGGGTACGTTCCAACACGCTATGAATCGGATCTTCCATGACCATTTAGATAAGTTTGTCGTGGTCTACTTAGACGATATTTTGATTTTTAGTAAGTCTGCCGAGGAGCGCGCACAACATGTTGAGACCGTACTCTCACTCCTACGACAGCACAAGTATAAGGTCAACTTAGAGAAGTGCGAGTTTGGCCGCACTAAGATACTATACTTGGGTCATGAAGTATCCGCGRAAGGGATTAGGCCGGAAGATGCGAAGGTGGCTAGTATTCGAGACTGGCCAGGACCTCAGATAGTCACTGAGGTCAGATCTTTCTTAGGAATGTGCGGCTACTATAGGAACTTCGTAAAGAACTATTCTACAGCCGCCTCTCCTTTGACAGATCTAATTCAACTTGACACGCCGTGGGACTGGAGTGATGAGTGCGAAGGTGCTTTCAAGCGATTGAAGCATGCACTCATGAATCATGAACTTCTCATGGTTCCCGATCCGCAAAAGCCATTCATAGTGACCATTGACGCAAGCCAATACGGCATTGGCGCAGTGCTGGCTCAGCAGGATGGGAAAAAGTTGAGACCGATTGAGTACATGAGTAAGAAGATGTCATCGAAAAAGTTGGCTAAGTCCACCTACGAAAGGGAACTCTATGCTCTCTACAAGGGACTTGTCCATTGGAGACACTTCCTTCTATGAAGGTTCTTCTATCTGAGGACTGATCATCAGACCCTCAAATGGATCAAGACTCAACCGGCTCTTTCTGATGCACTCAAGCGATGGATTGAGGTCATAGACCAATATGACTTCAAGCTTGAGTACCTGAAGGGAGAGTATAACAAGGTTGCAGACGCGCTATCCCGTAGAGCAGACTGCCTAGGTGCGCTAGTTTCTGAATTTGGCGTATCTAACGAAGTGACTCAATCATTGGTGGGAGCCTATCATGAAGACCCTGTCACGACGGACATCATCCGCAAACTTCAGGCAAAAGACAAGGCCACAAAAAGTGAGTTTGTGATGGTGGATGGGCTAATCTATCTTGATAAGGCCGGAGTAAAGAGATTGGTAGTTCCATCTAGTGAACAGTTGCATAGTTTATTTTTAGGTGAATGTCATGACGCAACTTGGCATTTTGGCTACAAGAAAACGAGTGGTAACTTAGTACAGCGATTTTGGTGGCCCAGAATGTTAGATGACGCAAAGAAGTATGTTGAGACCTGTCAGGTCTGTCAGCGGGACAAGCCGCGAACTCAAGCACCGCTTGGGTTATTGAAGCCTTTACCTATTCCTGATGATCCAGGATTGAGTGTTTCCATGGATTTCATGGACACTCTTATGACCAGCAAGAGTGGTAAGAGGCACATTTTCGTCATCATTGACCGATTCACCAAATACGCTAGACTAATTCCAATGCCAGAGACAGCCAAGACGGAATACGTCATCAAGTTGTTCAAGGACAACTGGGTAAGGGACTTTGGTTTACCAAAGACTATCATTAGTGACCGAGACGTCCGATTCATAAGTGAGCTGTGGAAGAAGACTGTGGAACAGATGGGCAGTCAACTTCAGATGACTTCAGGGAATCATCCCGAAGCCAACGGACAGGCTGAACAAATGAATAGAGTTGTACAGCACTTGCTGAGGCATTACATGAAGCCCAGCTAGGACGACTGGGATGAGCAGTTACCTCTCATCGCCAGCCTGTACAACAACGCTATACATAGTAGTACCGGCGTTAGTCCTAACCAGCTGCACTTAGGATGGAAGCCTAGATCAACATTAGACTTCCTCCTACCTGAAAACTGACCCGCTGCAACTCCAGGCACACTTGAATACGGTGTGCAATATGAGAAGTTGCTGCAAGACGCTGTTGAACATATGAAGAAAGCTCAGCAAGCCATGATTGCTTCTGAGAATCAACATCGCAGACAGTCCACATTTCAGGTAGGGGAACGTGTCTGGGTCAAGGCTAGTGAGTTAGGATAGGAATTCAGAATATCTCGCAAACTGATGCCTCAGTACTTTGGTCCCTGGGAAGTCTTGGATGTAGTGGGAGATGAGTTGGATGGTCCCACCTATGTCATTCGTGTCCC